TATACACAGTGGTCCCAGGCTCTTTAAACAGTGGTCCCAGGCTCTGTATACACAGTGGTCCCAGGCTCTTTAAACAGTGGTCCCAGGCTCTGTATACACAGTGGTCCCAGGCTCTTTAAACAGTGGTCCCAGGCTCTGTATACACAGTGGTCCCAGACTCTGTGTACACAGCGGTCCCAGACTCATTAAACTCAGGGGGTAGTGTCCCTCTGCAGCCAGGGCAGGACCCATTGGGTTTTTTCTATTAGAATAACTCTAAACAGTTAATTTTTTTAACGTGAGGACACATTCAGGGGAATCCCCTCAGTTCTTCATCCTCCCCAGCTGACTGACTCTTTAGACACCTGGGCTGTGCAGGTGAGGGCTTTAGCTCCTCCTCTGACCCCTGACGACGAGTTCATCTGCAGGAACAAAGACATTTAGTCCTTTTCAATCCACCACTTTTGAACCAGAAAGCAGCCTGAGCTCAGTGGCATGGTGCCAGTGGTGTTGTTGACACCTCACAGTGGAAACTAAATATAGTAAATATAACTTCAGATCTTTGTTCACATTACTCAAGTCTTTGATGACAAAGTGTTAATGAATAAAGGACGGGCCGGCCTTTCTTCCTTTGTTGGGTTCTCTGGTTTTGAAACGGTGGATTTTCCTGTTGCCTTCATCATCAACAAGTGGGTGTCCACACCTTGTTTTGTTTAGTCATTAACTCATTACCATGTTGAAACAAACTGCACTTGTTGTTGTTGTTTTAAGATTTTCATCAACTTTCCAGGTCTGATGTAACTCAGCTGCAGACTTTCCTGTCACTCATCCTCAGAATATCCACAGAGTTTATTGTGGCTGTGTAAAGTTGTGCTAATAAAACGAGCACCCACCCATTGCTGGAGGTTTTTCCATCAAGCTGGTTCAATAAAGTCTTTAAACATCCTGTAACTGTGGTCCTCTGCTGCCTTTATGCTTTCATGTGCCCTACTTCCTTTATTCCTTTCTCAAAGGAAACTCAAATTACAGCTAAAAATAACTTCCTGTTCTATTTTTAGCTCCGAGTTGTGCTGAAAATAACTTTTTGTTTTGTGCCTGTGGAGTCATTCCCTCACACACACACACACTCACGATGTGCGGTTGTTCTTGGTGTTGAAAGTCAGATTATGTAATCCCATGTGTGACGTTGTTCTTTGCAGTGAATGTGGACACACACGCACTGACAGGCCTTCAGCTCTTGTTTAGTTTCTATGTCCACCCCAACAAATGTTTACCTTGTAGACGGAGCTGGCCACTCACGTCTTGATGTCATCAGCACCAAAACAGCTGGTTTCACAGATGAGGAAAATCCCTTTGATGCTGCAAATAATTTGACTTTTTGTCTAATGGAAATTACATAATGACATCGATGACAGAAGCAGTTCATTTATTTTAAGTAAAAAGCAGCCTTTGTGTGATTTTTGTTTTCATTCTTCACTCTATGAAATTTATTTTTTTATTCATTTAAGAAAAAAATATATGCAATAAAAAACACAAATCATAAAGGAAATAAAATGATGTAGAAAGAAAAAAATGTTACATCTGCCCCCTTTTTTGTCATTAAAACACAAATTCAAACAATAAAATTAAAGAGAAAACCCATATCACCGCACTCTACTGTATCATATTTCTTCAACAAACTAACGTTATCATTCTCTTAAACGTACAGATTGATTCAGCAGTTTAACATCACTCTCAGTGTTATTCTAACTTCAAATAATAAAATAATGTATTTGATTTGTGGCTGTAATGTTTTCCAGTAATAATTCTTACAGCTCTTCTCTGTAATATAAAAATGGTTTGTAATTGTTTTGAATGCTTTTCCCCAAACTTCAATACAATAAAGTGTGGAATAATCATTACATCATTATACAATATATTAAATTTTATCATTCAATAACTTTTACTTTATACAGCAATGCAACTGATTTTACCATTTTTATTCTTTCTTTGTGTGTGGTTTCATGTCAGGTTTTTATCAATAACACCAATTCCTCACTGACTCTACAGACCTCAACACCCTCAACTCGAAATGTCCTGTTACAGATATCATTTTAGTTTTATCCTAATCATTTATTTAATTTGTTTTTTCACAAACTGCTTGTATCATCTCCAACACCTGTTCAAATAAAACACTTCAAAAGCCCCGACACACTAACCACGTCATTCATGTACAAAATAAACACTTTTGGTCCAAGTACAGAACCCTGAGGAACTCCACAGCTAATGTTACAGAATTCAGATCTTTATTTACCTGAACAAACTGTTTCCTTTTATTCAAATAGATACAGCTGTAGTGCTAATCCTCTAATGCTGTATTCATTCAGCTTTTCAAGAAGAGCGTTATGATCAATAACTAGTTTTGATCAGCAGCAGTTATCACTTCCATTAATTCCCTAACTTATCCATTGATGTTAAAATATTTATTCTGAACCCTTATTGACTACTGCTTAAAATATTGTGTTAATAAATTGATCTAATCTGCTCACAAATAATTTCTCTAACATTTTTGAAAATGGTGGCGACGAGGATATTGGTCTGTAATTATTGTTCTTATAGAGAGGAGTTATCTTTAGCTATTTTCATATAGTCTGTAAATATGTTCCTGATAAAGATAAATTACATGTGTAATAGATCAATAACACTTTTATCTGCAGAAAGTTGAGAAGTTTTAAATATAAAGTTTAGCTTCACTAAACACTGATCTGTATCAGTTTGTGGTTTTCTTATTATTCATTCTCTTTATTTTTATTAATATTTTTATTGTTATTAAATCATTAGGTTTAAATCTGTGAATGAGAAAAAGCTGTTAAAATAAAAAGGCTATTTTTGTTTTCCTTGTTTACTTGCAGGAATGAGCAAAGACATTTTTTCATTGCTTTTTAATGAATTGTAAAAATAGCTGTGCCACGTTCCTGGAGGAACCGGTCTCATCAGGACTCACCTGTCCGGTTCCATTCAGCCTCGTCGTGAGCCGTGTTTGATCTGAGTGTTTATAAAGTCCTGCAGGGGATATTTTCTTTAACAATAGGCTCTTTATGTCTCTGTAAGTGGTCAAACCTGTTGATTATCACAGTTTGTGTCTGCTCTTTGACAATATTAGAGTCAAATTTTACAGATTTGAATAAAAACTTCAAATATTAACCCAGTAAAACAGACGGTTCATCTAAAAGTCAGAGTTTTAATCAGAAGCATTTTATTTGAATAGTTTGATCCAGCAGACAGCAGTATTCATGTTTTCATCTTCTCAGCAGGCTGATGGAACCCCCCTCCAAGAAGGACATGGGCCCGCTTCTGAGACGACCAGACGAGTGGAAGGACCCGTGGCGCCGGTCCAAATCTCCACGCAGACGGCCCGGGATGGGCTCTCCGCCTCGAGGCCGGCGGCGCCATCGCCCCTCGGGCTCCTCGGTGTCTTTGTCCAACTCCTCCAGGTAGGAGCCCCCCCCTCCTCTCAGAGTCAGAGGCTCTGATTGGTGGGCCTGATGGACAGAGCTTCATCCTGATGGATAGAGCTTGATCAGAGCTAAACAACAAAAGAAATCTGAAGCTTCTATGTTGAACAGTTTCTGAGTTATAAGCATTCTTGCATGTCCTGACACCCCCTCTTTGAAAGGAGCCCCCTCCTCAAATATGGGGTCTATCATAAAACCGTTGGCTGGTGCAGTCTAGGTCAGACTCATCTACAGTCCTGACTAATTTCATGTTGATCAGTGCAGCTGTTTTTGTGCTACGGTTGACCAAAAATCACTGAAAATAAATAAATAAATAAATAAATAAATATAAATAAATAAATAAGATTACCCACCCTTTCTGGAGTCCTTGAAGGGGGTGCTGGAGAGCGCTCCTAACGGGGACTTCACCGTTCACGTGGGTAATGACAGTGAGACCTGGACAGGTGTGGTTGGGATGAACGTCCCCCCTGATCTGAACCTGAGTGGTGTTTTGTTGTTGGACTTCTGTCCTCATCATGGATTGTTCATAACCAACACCATGTTCAAACATAAGGGTGTCCAGATGTGCTGTTGGCACCAGGACACCCTAGACTACAGCTCAATGATCGACTGTTGTTGGTTCATCTGATCTGCAGCTGCATGTTTTGGACACTCAGGTGAAGAGAGGGGCGGAGCTGTCAACTGACCACTACCTGGTGGTGAGTTGGCTCCAGTGGTGGGGGAGGATGCTGGTCACACCTGGCAGACCCAAACGTATAGTGAGGGTCTGCTGGGAACATCTGTCAGAGTCTCCTGTCAGACGGAGCTTCAACTCACACCTCCGGGGAGGTGGGGGACATTGAGTCAGAGTGGGCCATGTTCCATGCCTCCATTGTTGAGGTGTCTCACCTGAGCTGTGACCGTAAGGTTGTCKGTGCCTGTCGTGGCGGCAACCCTTGAACCTGCTGGTGGACACCGGTGGTGAGGGATGCTGTCAGACTGAAGGAGGAGTCCTATCAGGTCTTTTTGACCTGTGGGACTCCAGAAGCAGCAGATAGGTATCGACAGTCCAAGCAGATTGCAGCTCGGGTGGTCGCTGAGACAAAAACTCAGGTGTGGGAGGAGTTCAGAGAGGCCATGGAAGAAGATTTCCATACGGCTTCAAGGTGATTATGGTCCACCATCCGACGTCTTGTGGGGGGGGGGTTCACCACCCACTAGGAATGCGCAATATAAATGATATAAACGATATAAATTTGTCCTATGATAGAGATTTGTAGTCTACCGGCCAACCGTGCAATTGTTTTTTATGATGTAACTGGCTGGAGTCAAAACAGAGGAAGCGGGAAGCAGCGTGGCTGAGAGCACAAATGAAGAGGGGGAAAAAAACATAACTTATCCGGACCTGGTTCAGGTGTGTGAAAATAAACGCCGAACTGTTTACATGTTTACGTGACGGCGCGTCCTGCATGCTGCAACGGGAGGAGCGCACGCCGCGGCACATGGTGAACGCAGCGAGGCGACTGTCAGTGCAGGTGAGGACGCACAAAAGCTCGTTGAGTCTGGACCTCGTTTCTCCTGCGGTCACAGCGCAGGACTGTCTCCTTGTACAGCGGGGAAGTGCTGTGGGAAAGGCTGACAGTCAGACTCTTTCCAAAAAAAAAAAAAAAGCATAAACGGGATGATTGTCACCCTGCCGGAGCGCGCACAGATTAAACACAAGGAGTGCAGAAAAAATAATCTGCAAAGTGTGTAGAAAGGAATAAATACAAACAATTTGTTTTACCTCCTTAAAACGAAGCAGGTGATTCAAACACAACATCCAATGGATGCAGATATCTGTTACATTAAAGTTTGTGTGTGTGTGTGTGTGTGTGTGTTATATATATATTTGATTTAAGCAGGTAGGTCTCCCTTAAATTTAGATTTTTATGGGAGACTGTAAAGTGTCCCTTAAAAAGAGATTTTAAGGTCTAAAATTTTTCTACCTAAACATATTTATTCCACTCAGTTAATGTGTGATTTTGTTTATTTTTTATTATAAGCTTTATACACTCTAAAAATAAAATGTTGGATTTACTTAACCATGTTATGTTACCTGGTTCCACTTAACTGAGTTGAGTAAATTCAAAGCAACATGCTCATGTTCTTTGGCTAAAAAACTGGTATATTGCTTTGAATTTACTCAACTCGGTTAAGTGGAACCAGGTAACATAACATGGTTAAGTAAATCCAACATTTCATTTTTTACAGTGTATCGTGATTATATATCGTTACCACCACCCATCATAATATATATCGTGAGATGAATTTTTTGCCATATTGCACATTCCTACCACCAACACTGTTTATGGTGGGGATGGAGCTCTGCTGACCTCAACTCAGGACGTTGTGGGTCAGTGGACAGAATACTTCGAAGACCTCCTCAATCCYACCAACACGTCTTCCCACGAGGAAGCAGAGCCTGAGGACCCTGGGTCAGACTCTCCAGAGCCTGAGGACCCTGGGTCAGACTCTCCAGAGCCTGAGGACCCTGGGTCAGACTCTCCAGTCTCTGGTGCTGAGGTCACTGAGGTGGGTAAAAAGCTCCTCGGTGGCAGGGCACTGGGGGTGGATGAGATTCACCTGGAGTTCCTTTAGGCTCTGGATGTTGTGGGGTTGTGTTGGTTGACACGACTCTACAATATCACATGGACATCGGGGGCAGTTCCCCTGGATTGACAGACCGGGGTGGTGGTCCCCCTGTTTAAAAAGAAGGACCACAGAGTGTGTTCCAACTATAGGGGGATCACATTTCTGAGCCTCCCTGGTAAGGTCTATTCAGGGGTCCTGTAGAGGAGGGTCCGTTGAATAGTCAAAATCTGGTATTCAGGAAGAGCAGTGTGGTTCTGGTCCTGGTCGTGGAACAGTGGACCAGCTCTACACCCTCAGCAGGGTCCTGGAGGGTTCATGGGAGTTCAACCAGTCTACGGCTGTGTCCAAAACAGCAGGACGGGTCCTCCGAAAGTCGAATTTGTCGGCCGCATACGTCACAGCGCCGCGACGAAGGACGTCCAAAACCGAAGACTCCTCCGATGCGGCCGACAAATACGTCCTTCCTTTGGCCCGAATCGAAGGACAGGTCTGATGGAACCTTCCCGGCCCAGCATATCCCATAATGCATTGCGGCCCGACCGGAGATTTTTTATGCTAGTAATGGCGGACGAAGCAAGAGAAAAGAATACATTTTAAATAAAAATATGGTGATGTAAAAAATTAGCGGTTGTAATTCTAATACTTTTATCATTTGTATGGACATGTTTTTAAATATTATTTTTTCGTCATAAAAACGCGAACTAAACATGAACCTACAGCGGGTCAATTAGTTCTTCAAATGATACCTTTAAGTTAATTTTATAGTTTTGTGATATTAATAATGCTAATGTATTGAAATTTTTCTAGTTTTGATTTAAGTTTGCTTGTTTAGCGTCGTCACAGTTGCTAGGTGACAAGACGTACGCCGGGGTAAGGAGGGGAGGCTAGACCGTCCAAATTCACAGACTCTTTTTTTTCTGGTCTTCCCGGTCTACCAAGGACCCGGCCCGCCGAGACCGGGGAGTCTGGGTCCTCCGGAGGACCCGTCCTGCCGTTTTGGACACAGCCTACATGTGTTTTGTGGACTTGGAGAAGGCGTTTGACCATGTCCCTTGGGGACTCCTGTGGGGGGGTACTCTGGGAGTATGGGGTACCAGGCCCATTGATACGGGCTGTTAGGTCGGTGCCAGAACTTTCTTTTGAGTATAGCAATGAATTGCTGTTAAACTAGATGAAAACCATTATCTGAGAGTTATTTTTATTTATGTCACATTTAACGTGGAGAAGGCGGGACTTAGAACATGTACAAAACAACTTCCTGGATCATTACAAGAGTATTGGGTCCAGTTATGCTGTGTTTGCTGCAGTGCATTCTGGGTAAACATCTGTCCTTTATTCTCATTGGTCCAGATGAAACAAACCAAATTCCTGCTGCTTGTTGCTTTAGAGGGAAGAGGTCGTGACCTTTGACCTGCTGACTGAGGCCTGTAGAGATGGAGCTCATGAAGTGACACTATGGCTGTGTCCAAAACGGCAGGACGGGTCCTCCGAAGGTCGAATTTGTCGGCCGCATACGTCACAGCGCCGCGACGAAGGACGTCCAAAACGGAAGACTCCTCCGATGCGTCCGACAAATACGTCCTTCTTTTTCCCCGAATCGAAGGACAGGTCCGATGGATCCTTCCCGGCCCAGCATATCCCAGAATGCATTGCGGCCCGACCGGAGATTTTTTTATGCTAGTAATGGCGGACGAAGCGAGAGAAAAGAATACGTTTTAAATAAAAATATGGTGATTTAAAAATTAAAAAAAATTAGCGGTTGTAATTCTAATACTTTTATCATTTGTATCGACATGTTTTTAAATATTATTTTTTCGTCATAAAAAACGCGAAATAAACATGAACCTACAGCGGGTCAATTAGTTCTTCAAATGATACCTTTAAGTTAATTTCATAGTTTTGTGATATTAATAATGCTAATGTGTTGATATTTTTCTAGTTTTGATTTAAGTTTGCTTGTTTAGCGTCGTCACAGTTGCTAGGTGACAAGACGTACGCCGGGGTAAGGAGGGGAGGCTAGACCGTCCAAATCCACAGCCTCTTTTTTTCCGGTCTTCCCGGTCTACCAAGGACCCGGCCCTCCGAGATCGGGGAGTCTGGGTCCTCCGGAGGACCCGTCCTGTCGTTTTGGACACAGCCTATGTCCTCACGTTTGGTCTCACAACATGTCCTCTTTGTGTCCCAGGTCTTCATCACGCTCTTCATCCTACACGGGGTCTGGGTCGTCTCGTTCTCGCAGCCGCTCCTCCTCGTACTCCTCCTACTCCAGCCACTCCTCCCAGCACAGCTCCTTCAGCGGCAGCCGCTCCAGGTGTGTTTGTCTGAACACTCCTTCAGTCACTCCAGATGTTGAAGTTACATTTTATAACTAACCTGATTTATTGAATTGTTTTTAGATCTCGATCCTTTTCCTCGTCTCCCTCACCAAGTCCAGCAGCTCCGAAGACCATCAAGACCAAACCAGAACCTCCACCTGTGTCGGCTAAAGGGTACCTCTTCATCACTTGTTGTTTATTCATGTTACATTTTACAGAGTAAATCATTCATGTCTGTTCTGTACCTGAATCCATTTGGCTGAAATTAGCCAAATGTAGTCACTCAGTGAAAATATTTACTTTTAAACAACTCATTTTTGTTTTCGTACAGTTTGAAGACAAACTGTAGCTTTTGTGATAAAATTAGCCACGAGGATAAATTAGACATTATTTGCATGTTTTAACTAATGCATCATTTATCATCAGAAAAGAGAAAAAACTGAAAATGTTGGTTTAAATTCCCTAAATCTGACAAAGGTATATATATTTTTTACCTTTTAAAGGTGATTTAACTTAATTCAAGTTTTGATTTTTTTTAAATAATCTGGACAAATCAGAGCAAAAACCAAAGTGCTCCATGATTAAATTTAGACTTTTTCATTTACGTTGACAGATTTATTTACAGAAAGAAGCCATGCAAATTTAAAATTGAACATTTTTTTAATGTATGTCTGGGTTTTTAGGCTAATGTATTTTTGAGTCAAGCAAAGCTCTTTTACATGAAGAAACATCCTGATATGAAACTACTCTTGATATTTTCTCATATTTAGCTTTATGTTATTAAATAATGCATGTTCTGTGCACGATATCGACACGCTTCAACCTTCTCCCTCCTAAAGCGCTCCTCCAAAGCCAGCTCCAGTGCCGCCGCCACGCAGAGACAAGCCGCCACTGAAGAAAGCTCCCAGTCCCCCTGTCCCCAGTGGACCTCAGAACAGGTCCTCCAAACCCACGATGGAGGGGGGCAAGCCTCCGCCCAATCCCAGGGAAGTAGGGGGTACAAATGCCGGACCAGGACCCGGTGGTGCGGGCAGAATTATGCCACCACGAGAACCAGGAAGACCCCCGAATCCTCGAGAGGGCAGGCAGAGGGAGAGGCAGCAGCATCCTCCTCGCAGGTAAGAGGCTTCAGAAGACCAAATATTCAGCGTAATGTGCTTGATCAAAGGTCAGGGGTCAACATAAGCATTTTTTAACCAGATCTCGCCTCCTGGTTGTAAACTTGTCCTCCAATGGTTTACGTCGTTTGTAAAAATGAAGAGGAAAAAAAACCTTACAGATTTTAAACTGACGGTTCTTTCAACCAATAGAGAGAAGCACAGTCAGAGTTTTACCCAGTCAGATCAGAGCAGGGCGGGTCGTGCTGTCTGTCTGACAGCGCAGCATTGAGTCACTCCACACAGGCTGCCTGCACAGTGCACCAATCAGACAGTTTGTCAAGCTTTTCATCTCCTGTTTACATTTCATCAGGTACAGAGTGTACTGCTTCATGTCCTTATGGAGAAAACTGGAACAACGTAAGCACCTCCACCTCTTGAGATGGTGCGCAGTGCTCCATGTTTGAGCGGGGGAGGCTGCCAGACAGACCTGTAAACCCAAACATACAGTGAGGGGGAACTGGGAACCTCTGGTGGAGCCCCCTGTCCGTCAGATCTTCAACTCTGATCCAGCATGTCCAGGGGGAGGTTGGGGACATGGAATCTGAATGGGCCATGTTCAGGGCCTCCATTGGGGTGGTGGCTCCCATTTTTTAAAACGGGGGACCGGAGAGTGTGTTCTAACTAACGTGGATCACACTTGTTGCCCTCCCCAGGAAAGTTTACTCCAGGGTGTTGGAAGGGAGGCTCCAATCAATCATTGAACCTTGGAATCCAGAGGAGCAGTGTGGCTTCAGTCCTGGTCCTGGAACAATGGACCAGATCTTTACCCTTGCAGAGTTGCTAATGGGGTCATGGGAGTTTGCCACTCCAGTCTACGTGTGTTTTGTAGACCTGGAGAAGGCTTATGATCGTGTTCCTCCTCATTCTTGGCACAAAGTCGAGCTTGTTCTCAGCGCAGGACTCCAGAGCTGTCTTCAGTCCTGTTTGTAGTGTTTATGGACAGGATCTCAAGGTGCAGTTGTGGAGAGGGTCTGATTTGGCAACCACAGGGTCTCATCTCTGCTGTATGTGGATGATGTGGTTATGTTGGCGTCTTCAGGCCAACACCAGTATGGGTGCATCCCTAGTCCAAAGTGAGTTGTGTTGGTGTCTGTATTGTTGGATCCCTGACTCATCCTTTCTTTAAAGAAATGAAAGGTCTACCTCCAAACATGTAAGTCCATGTTACCTGTTGGTAGGAGGAGGCACTCATCTAAAATCTTCTCTTGTCTTTTCCATGAGGAGGATGTCTGCTCATATTCAGACCATCCAAAAAGACCCCACATTGGTCCAACCTGAGTTCAGAAAAAAAATCTTCCTGATGTGGAATTTCTAAAGGGATTCTGTTTCCGAGGTCCATTCAACCTGGTTTTGCATAAAGGCTGCAGCTGCAAATGCAGAGGTGTTTGTGTGGGTGTCAGAAAGTATATCCTTCCTTTTTTTTTTACTACAAAGTGCTACATTGCTACACCAAAACATTATGCAACAACCAAAAGTATGTCAAAGAGCTGAAGCAGTGTTTATTTAAATATGAACTCAACAATCTGCAGCATTAAAAATAAAAACATAAACCTTGTAAAGAAGACAGAACATTTGGTTCTGGGTGCAGTTTTATATATACAGTATATGTGTGTTGGAGAGGTATGTCACACGTTCGTGAGAAAGTACTTCAAACTAAACAAGAGCAGAAAGTCTTGGTACATTTTTGCATATTTGTGTTGAATATAAAGGATCTACAGGTGCGTTCCACTGCCGTGTATTTTGGGGAAAGACCTGAGCATCTGCATGTGGGCATGAGCGCAGAGGTGTGTTTTGAGGAAAAACCTAACTTTTGTGTTTTTGACACCATGTGATTGTGTGACAGGTATCATAATGCAGAGAGGAAGAGAAGCCAAAGGCTGGGGAAGAACAGATAGCTAGCTGTCTGTGTGAATTTGTTTTTATGTTTGTTTGTGGGTGGGTGTGGGGGAGGCTTCAGTTACACATGGAACTATCCTGGAAAGCTACTCGCAGCTCCTGTTTGGTAGTCCTTTTCTGAAGCTTTTCCCTGATGGACAGAGATGCACTATAGCACCAACTGATTTCTAAACCAAAGTTTCTGTAAGCTCAGGAGATGCATCGTCGCTGCTACCTAGAGAAACACAGCTCTGGTTGAACTGCAACGCTTTATGGTCTGTTTACTTGTCAGCTTTGAGCTGACATGTCATAGAGATATAAACACACCTGCACTGGTGCAATGAAACTGAACCACCAATTAAACACACTGTTTAGAGAACAGTTGTGATCAAGTGATCCCTCCTGAGCAGGCATATAGGTGAAACGTGGACATTCAGATAGGCCTGTCACGATAACAAATTTTGCTGGGCGATTAATTGTCTCAAAATTTATTGCGATAAGCGATAATATTGCCTGGTGACCGTTTTACAACTAATAATTATACAGGTGCTGGTCATAAAATTTGAATATCATGAAAAAGTAGATTTATTTCAGTAATTC